AAAACCTTTTTATTAAATCAGAACTTCAACATCAGCACACATTTCATGTTTAACAAAACAACCATCATTTGTGGCGATGAAACGTAAAATAACAGACTTTTAAAGTAAGCCTAGCAGTCAAAGACTACGCAATTGATTTAAAGAGAAGTTGACTCAAAACTTCTCATCGGCGTAACAGTTAAATACCAACAACAATAACGCAAAGCCGAATAATTATAATCTTATTAGAAACGGCGAATCTAGACGCATGGCCTCTGGAGGCAGAAACACACACTGTCTTACAAACCAAAACCCTCGATTTAAATACTCTAACTGATATATGTTCCGCCGAGGAAACGAAAAGGAAAAGCCTTAGTTCAGGCTGAAATTAGAAGTAGCTGGTTAATGAAAATGATAATAACCCTGTAAACTTATTATTCCGAGACATTGCTACATCTCATGGATTTTATTGGATACACAAATTATTGAAAATGTAATTAAATGTTCTTGAATTTGATATTTATGGATAATGTAACATGAAATGCTTGAAAGAGAAGATGCTGTTCCAGAAGAATAAGATTACAATGGGCAAATCTAGTTAACATTAAATAAATGGCTACCTTGCTGAATTGGCGTGATATCGCCAAGCTGGAGACGGTTTTGGAAGCTAATTTTTGTCGCCAAATTTGCTGAGTAATTCGCAAAAGTCGCCAAGCTTGGCAACTATTGGGTGACTTTTTGGTCGTGTCCTTGTAAAACAGTAATTGGTATTATGATTGAATATTGAATAAATATAATTGATTCTTGTCCGTAAATATATCCGTATAATGTCTTTCAGTAATTTCGAGAAGTGGAAGGTACTAGAGATTTCTTGGTGGCCAGGTGAAAACTATGTAAGACTAGATAGAGTATCAGATACAGAAGTTGCTTAATTTGGTGTATTGAGAGGAGGAGCTTTGCCTTTTTAGATGCCCTTTGCCTTGCGTTGTGTTTAACGTTTTTAATAGTTTGAAGTGTGACTCCTCTGTGATATTCTGAGGAGCTGCACGAGTGTTATTGCGGAAAGTTCCACAGGTGTAAAGTGTTTCTTTCGGTAAAAATAAGTTTTATCAGGCTATGATTCAGTTTATTACGAAGCCGTCCACCTGCAGTAATATCAATAGAACTTGAAGGAAAGTTAATAACTCAAACAGTCAAGTACCAGTTAATTAAGAGAAATAATTTCAGAAACTATTTTTTCACTCTACAAATATAAGAAGTCAAATATTTTAATCTCACAAAATGGACATATGAAAAATTAAACAAGACGTCTTTCGCTTTTCTTTTTCTAACTGAAAAAAAATGGTATAGTTAGATTTAGAGAATGCAAAATAAGTAGGTTATAATATAACGACGCTTAAGTATCCAAGCACACCAGCGGCCGAGCGGTAAAATCATTGAACGCTTTTAACTCATTCCGGGGTTCGAACAGGCTGGCGGCATGGGTGTTTTTGTGGATTTCCGTATGTGTAACGGGTATACGTGTGCTCCACTAAGATATTTCTCCCCTTAGGCAGATAGAAATCGCGTGCTTTTTCATAATAAAATAAACCAAAACCAGACCAAACTTAAATATCCAAATGATATTAATACTTCACAAATTTCGTCAGAAATGTCTAATTCTACTAACCAGTTGCTTTTGGACACTAAAGCGCTTTAAATTTTAATCTCTAAGAAGTAAAGCACGAGTACAAGAATTTAGAAGTTCAGTTGAATTTGTGTTAACATTGCCAAATTACTCTTACTAGCAAAAACAGAAGCTTCAACAAACTTAATAAAAAACTATTCATCTTCAGTTTGTCGAAAAAAAAAAAAAAAAAAACCTTTCTATAAAACAAAAATTAACCTATCAAATAATTTGAAAAAAAAAAAAAAAAAAAAAACTGAAAGCTTTCAGATTTAATATCACGCTCAAAGGGGCGTTTTTTTCACGTTTTGTGTGTTACTTTATTTATTAAATATCATTCTCTTCGCACTTAAACGACATAAATTCAATTCAACAGCAATATCGCAAAATATTTAAAAACAGCATATTTTTAGAATTTCCGACAAACAGTCTCGTGCGCTGGAAATAAAAATGTTTTTCTCCGTAGAGTATTGCCATTGCTCGCTTTGAAATTGTTGAGCTTTTTAATCAAAAATTCTTTAAAGTTTTACGAAATATGAAATAAATAATAAAACCAATGCGAAATTAAAAATTCGAGTTTCCAGGTGCCCATGTTCCCGGTGGAGGATTACGTTATTCAAAATTTGTTGGCTCTAGGTACCATCGTTTCTTCACAATGCGAGAAAGATTGTTGACACTGCATTCGCAGATTCTTCATTATTTAATTTCTTTAAATGTAACACAGGGCGATAATATTTGGTGGCAATCATTTGAAAAGTGATACAACGCTTTTAGAGATTCTACACAAAAAGCCGTTTCGAGAATAATATTCCTTCTTAGTTAACACCCCTTTGGGTTAATATGTTTGCAACAGTATGTCATAAACATAACTTTTCCCGGAATCAGGCACCCAATTTTACTGAGTATTTTATTTTTGTTTAACCCACCTGTGATTTTTATAATTTTTTCATTTTCTCAATATTTTTAGTTTCCAAAATGGCGGCAATGATAAGCTTCTCAGACTAGTGAAATCTAGTTAAATAATTCATAGTAAACGAGAAGTAATTAACGATCAATCTCTTGCGAGCTGCTTCCGATTAACTCATGGCTGAAAGAGGAAGTTGGTTTTGAGTTTCGTGTTCATATTTCAAACTAGTTGTCGATATCACTTGATCAGTTTGGCCATACATCCTTTTTACTTACGATAAGTAGTCACGCAATGTTTCCGCTTACTTCTAGTGAACTTTCATGGCCTAATAAATTTAGGTTTCAGCTTGTTATTTGTCAAAATTTAAAGTTTCCCAAAATTTAAACATAAAGTCGGGATAATGGGAATGAGGATTAAGAAACATAAAAATTTTTTCAAAACGTTATCTAAGCATAGCCAGTACTTTCAATTAGATATAATAGACAGAGCGAAAAAATTTCTCGAATACCGTGTAAACAATAACGAAGAAAATTATTTTTACGAAATGAGCTCTAAAATTTTTTATTTAAAAATATATTTTAAAATTCAAACGTGATTCTGCAATCATTTTATTTGGCATTCCTGATTCGCAACTTGCTTTTTTACTTTTTCCCTTCTTTACTTACTCAAGTCCTAAGCATGGGCCTGAAACATGTTTCAAAGGAATGAATTGCTGTTATTAAATTAGAGCATAGATATCACAACAGCATTAACATAGATGTTAACTCATTTATGACAAAAATATTTTAATGAGTTTAATTCAGTTCTATTAATTTTTATTTCTTACCTGAAAAACAGAAAATCTACTGTTTTTTTTTTTTTTTTTTTTTTTTTTTTTTTTTTTACCCGAAAGAGACAATTTGCCCAGAGGAGCTACTCATTTCGATTTGGCATTTTGCGTTGTTTCACTAAAACGACGTTTCACTTGTTGTTGCCACCAAATATTATCTTTCTCTATTATATTTAAAGAAATTAAATAATGAAGAATCTGCATGATGTATGTATGTTTCTCGCAATGTAAAAGAACAACGCTACGTAGAGCCATCCAATTTTGAATAACAAAATTCTCCACTCGAATATGAGAACCTGGAAGCCGCAATTTGGAATTTTTTCTGTTATCTATTTCATATTTTGTGAAACTTGAACGAATTTTTGAATTACAAACTCAACGATTTCAAAGCGAGCAACGGCAACACTGTACGGGGGGAAGGAAATATCTATTTTCAGCGCGCAAGACTGTGTATCGGGAATTCTAAAGATGTGCTCTTTTTAAATTACTTTGTGATATTGCTGTTGAATTGAATTTTATGGTTTAAGTGCGAAGAACATGATATTTAATAAATAAAGGTAACACATAGAACGTCGAGAAACGCCCCTTTGGACGTAATGTAAAATCTGAATGCTTTCAGATTTTTTTAAATATTATTTATTTACTTAATTTATGTTTTACTGAGATGTTTTTCCTGAGAAATCGAAGAAGCATAACTTTTATATTCTGAAGTTTGCTGAAGCCTATCTCATTATTAGCAAGAGTAACTTGGCAATGGTAACGTAAATTCGAAGCAACTTGTAAATTCTGATTTACTAAACTAAACTTATAAGGTACTTCTCTCACCTTCTTAGAGTGCCTTCGTAGTGTAGTGGTCGGCACGCTCGACGTGTATTCGAGAGATCCGTGGTTCGAGTCCCGGCGAGGTCATTGCTCCTTTTTCACATCACCTGCTTCAAAAAAAGTAAATGACTCTACAAACTGTATTCGTAATATACTTCTGAGAGATTTAAATTTGAAACATCTCAGTGTCCAGGAACAACTGGTTACCCAAATTAGACATTTCTGATGACATTTTTGAAGTATTTATAGCATTTGGATATTTAAGTTTGGTTCGGTTTATTTGATTTTGAGAAAGTTCTCGAGGGCAATCTGTCTAAGGGGAGGGATGTCTTCGTGGAGAACACGTATATTTATATCATTTTGGATATTTAAGTTTGTTTTATTTTTGGTTTATTTGTTTATGGCAAAGCACTCCAGGGCTATCTGCCTAGTAAATTTAAGAATGAAACACCAGAAATGTGCTATGCAATTATGAAAGTGAAATTGTCAGAAATGAATTTATCACCCAAACCATTACCAACCATTTTATAGGTGACACAAGCCAGACGAAAAATGCAAAATACACATAAAAGAAAAACTTTCATAACCGAATTAAAACACAAACACTTTCTTTTAAGTAGCACTGTAACGCATGCCGGGTAACAACTAGTAAATAAACAAAATAGTACGAAGAAGGAAAAACTTAATATGCAGTAAAATACTGGTACCTAAGCAAACTACTTGCATAAAAATACAACAACAACCTTTCAAGAAACTTTGAAAGTTTCATTAACAATAAATTACCTTTCTCTGTACAGGTATGCGAAAACAAAGCGCCATGCCGGTGAGGTCATACCCCGTAAAATCAGCCTGGCATGGATGACGAAAGTGGGTGTTGTGAATAACCTGGTCAGCGAGATGGATGCTGATGAAGGTTTTAGACAAGCTGCAGGGTAAGTTATGTAATTAACGTGATAACTTGATAGGTAATAACTGTGCATATCATTTTTGATAGGTAAGACAGTATAGTAGAATCTCGGTGTTACGAAATGGCAATGGAATTCAAATTATCTATAATTATATTATACGGAAATTCGAATTACTCGGATTATTTACTGTACTTTCCACCAAAATTGTATATATATAGTATATATATATATATACATCCACTCTGTTACCAGGCTCGGTGAGCTCGGTTTTTAATTCGTATATGTTGGTAAATTGTACATTTTTTGCTTTAAAAGAGTTTTAATTATGTTGCTCTTATGATCCCAGTAAAGTTTTTATTCGTTTAGTTAATCTGCATGCAATAGTTGTAGAATTATCAACAATTTAAAAATTTGTTTAAGTACTATTAAACATAACGCAGCCGTTTTGGCTTACATTAGAGATTCTTAGTAGAACAGTGAATTGAGTTAGTTGGGGCACCAACTACAATTTCTTTCTGTCGAGTTAGACCAAAAGAAACTTCAATTTTTGCACCGAAAATCTGCCTTTTTGCCTATTTACCGAATTGCTTGTTTTTGCGTAGAAACTAATTTTAATTGTAAGAATTGTTTTTTAACTGCATCTCGTGTTTTATGTTATTGTATATCTTTCAGTTTTTAAGGAAAATAGGTTGCGTTTTTATGTATGTTTTGCCTTTTCGCTAAGTGAGAAAAGAATAGATTGAATGAGAAAAATATGTGTAATGAAATTCGTGGGAATAAGTTTAAATGAAGTGCAGAAAAAAGTGTGTATAATTTAATAAGTCGTACAAGGAAGTCATGCAATGTTCACATCATATTTTTTTAAAACTTAAATCATAACAAAAGATATTTCAGGAATGTGTTATGTGAATCTAGGTCATTTACATACAGGTTGTTATTTGGCATAAATAAAAGAATTAAATAAATAAAGAAGTTCTATTTATATTATTATAAATAATTCATAAATAAAGAAGTTCTATTTTAGTTAACTAAAAATAAAGTATTGACTTCATTTTAAATCAAGTAAAAAATAATTTTTTCGTTTAATATATTGCTGTAAAAATTAAAAATAAAATATCTTTAATTTATCCTATGTGAATAGTATTTTATTCGACTTTAAAAAAGAATTAAGTGCTAAAGATAATGAAAAAATTTTATTCAGTACTAATGAGAGAGAGGTGTGGACGTCCTTTTATTGCAAAACAAATACCTCCTTTTTTTAAATATACATTATTTCTTGAAATAAGACACAATTAACAAAATAATAAAAATTCCCTTACGTATATTATAATATAAGTATTTGGTCTAATCCCTCCCCTTAAAAAAAAGAGCAGTTCTATTTTCTGCTTTTCAGTATATTTGGTTTAGTTGTGATAGCGGTGAGTTATCCCTGTGTGGAAGGATGCTGCCTCGGATAAAATGTAGACTGTACTCATTTCGGATAACAGTTTTCTGTAGTTTATACGGCAGAGATTTTTAACCTCATTTCTTTTTCTTAGAGAGTTTTATTTTGTATAATAGCAATGGAAAAATTCAGAGTGAGACGAATTCTGAGTTTTCTTAATTCCTTCTTCTGAAAGCTTCTCAGAATTTTCGAATCTCCAGTATCTCGAATTCTTCATATAAGAATCATTATGAGGGGAAAAATGTGCGCCGCAAAATTCCTTTCAACAGCAAAATCAAACAATATTTAAAAACAGCATATCTAGTCCCGAGAGCTGCAGATAAAAACGTATTATTGCGTACAGTGTTTACTTACTTTCAAATAGATGAGTTTGCTAATCAAAAATTCATTAAAGTTGTATAAAATATGAAATATAAAATTCAAAATTCTGGATTTCAGATGCACATGTTCTGGGGAAGGACTGCGTTATTCAAAATTAGATGGAGCTAAATACCATCTTTTTTTTTTCATACTGCGAGGAACATACATATATGCATGCATATTAATTATTTAATATCTTATAAGGTATTTCTTCCACTTTCTTGGCGTGCCTTCGTGGTGTATTGGTTCTGCACGCTGGGCCGGTATTCCAGAGGTCCGTGGTTCGAGTTCCGGCGAAGGCGGTGGCTAATTTTTCATCTTGTCTGCTTCCAAAAATACCTAATGTATCTACAATCTTTAAACATAAAACAAGGCGATAATATTTGGTGGCAACAATTTGAAAAGTGATTCACCGTTTATTGTAGACTGCATGACGCAAAATCCCGTTTCCAGACAAATAGTCTATTCTGTATAACGCGCTTTTGTTCTAATAATATTACGAAAAGAAACGTAAAAATAGTCCTCTTATCTTTTTGAAAGAAAATACTATATGCTGTTTTCAACTCACTAAACTATACTTTTAAGAAACTAAATTACAAGAACCAGCAAAATATGAATAAATTTGCTGGACTAGCTTAGACAGATATTTTCCTGTCATTATTTTGGCTCCCACAGAGAAGAATATTTTGTTTAATCTTTGCATCTATAGTTTTGCAAATGTACTCTAGTTCCATTGATTCTTTTTGCTTATTATTAGTTTTTATAACATTTGTACTTCGGTGTGTTTTTTTCTAATATTTGTTATAAATCTCTACTGATAAATAATATTCAAACTCAATTGGAAGGTGAGATATTTGCCTGTATGCTTTTCTTTTGAAGGTGTATCATTATAAACAGGAAAATGTCAAATTACTAGATATATCTGTGTTTGAATAAAAACTGGGTAAATCTGTATTTCTCTCTCTCTATCTACCTATCTATTTCTTTATGTGCCTTTCTAAATATACATTTCTCCCTCTATCTTTTTATCTATATCTCTCTAACCGTATCTTCCTGTCAACACCTCTTATCTAGGATATCTCTCTAACCTTATCTTCACGTGAATGCCTCTCATCTATATCTTTCAAGCTCTGATCTATACTTCATCTGTATATCATCTATTTACACCCTGCGTATTTCTGTCTATTACCTGTCTCTCTCTCTCTTTCTATTTATCTGTTTCTTTATCTGCCTTTCTATCTATCTATATGTTTCTCCCTCTACCTTTCTATCTATGTCTCTAACCGTATCTTCCCGTCAATACCTCTCAGTCTCTCATCTATATCTCTCAAGCTCTGATCTGTATTTCATCTATATATCATCTATCTACAATCTAAGTCTTTCTGTCTATTATCTGTCTCTCTCTCTCTTTCTACTTATCTATTTCTTTATCTGCTCTATCTATATGTTTCTCCCTCTACCTTTCTATCTATACCTCTCTAACCGTATCTTCCCGTCAACACCTGTCATCTACTATATCTTCCCTGAATACCTCTCATCTATATCTTTCAAGCTCTAATCTATATTTCATCTATATATCATCTATCTACACCCTGCGTTTCTCCTTCTATTACCTGTCTCTCTCTTTTTCTACTTATCTGTTTCTTTATCTGCCTTTCTAACTATCTATATGTTTCTACCTCTACCTTTCTATCTATGTCTCTCTAACCGTATCTTCCCGTCAATACCTCTCAGTCTCTCATCTATATCTCTCAAGCTCTGATCTGTATTTCATCTATATATCATCTATCTACAATCTAAGTCTTTCTGTCTATTATCTGTCTCTCTCTCTCTTTCTATTTATCTGTTTCTTTATCTGCCTTTCTATCTATCTATGTATGTTTCTCCCTCTACCTTTCTATTTATCTCTCTAACCGTATCTTCCCGTCAATACCTCTCAGTCTCTCATCTATATCTCTCAAGCTCTGATCTGTATTTCATCTATATATCATCTATCTACAATCTAAGTCTTTCTGTCTATTATCTGTCTCTCTCTCTCTTTCTATTTATCTGTTTCTGTATCTGCCTTTCTATCTATCTATATGTTTCTCCCTCTACCTTTCTATCTATGTCTCTCTAACCGTATCTTCCCGTCAATACCTCTCAGTCTCTCATCTATATCTCTCAAGCTCTGATCTGTATTTCATCTATATATCATCTATCTACAATCTAAGTCTTTCTGTCTATTATCTGTCTCTCTCTATCTTTCTACTTATCTATTTCTTTATCTGCTCTTTCTATATGTTTCTCCCTCTACCTTTCTATCTATATCTCTCTAACCGTATCTTCCCGTCAATATCTCTCAGCTACATCTATCAAGCTCTGATCTGTATTTCATCTATATATCATGCATATCTCTCTGTTTACAATCTACGTCTTTGTATCTGTTATTTGTGTCTCTCTGTCTATTATCTATGCCTGTCTGTGTCTGTCAGTATTATTAATTATGTCTGTCTGTAATATTATTTATGTCTGTCCGTGTTATTATCTATTCATGTCTGTATGTCTGACATGTTTGTTTGTCTAGTCTGTATATATATGTACGCATGTGTGCATACGGACATAGAGACTGAGGCATCATACAGACATACACATAGAGATAATGCATAGAGATAGAGGACTAAAATCGTTAAGTTGTTATAAAATTTCATACTCACCATTCATATTTTTTTTTAGATGCTAACAGTAGTATGCAGAGTTAGAGCTCTTTATTTTATATCATTACGATTTATTTTTACGACACTTTCATTCTACAAATGTATTTTAAAGGCATTTTTAAAAAAGGGGTTAAATATTAATTATGTTATTATTGAATAATTTTGATATTTATTCAAGGGCAGAAAATTGTCTTTCGAAAATAGAATATATTTACAAAAGAGGTAAATCATTATCATTGAAAATTTTATAATAATATTGAGTAATGTTTTCCCACACTTAATTCTATTTCATAACTTCAAAAGCGAATCTATCATAAAAGATGCAAGAAGCTTTGTTCTCGTTGCACAAACAATTAAAACTCTCGTATCTGTTATTTCTTCTTCTAGGTCTAAGGTCACATTGAATGCACAAGAATACAAAGATTTTCTAATCGATTTGACCATTCGCAAGAAACTTCCTTTTTATGAAATCTATCGTCGAATGTGCGGTTTGTAGAAGCATCCTAGGTAATGTGAAGAAACAGCAAATGTAATTACTGCAGAAATGTCTACAATTGTTCGTGGTTTCAAAATAAATGGAAGTTTAAAAGAAAATGATTTGTCTTTCAAAATATGACTTCACTCGTGAAAAATATGATCCTCAATATTTTGTAATTTTAAAATGTTCTCAAACAACTTTGCATCTTTACATAGGTTACTTCTATTGATATTTAATATGATGTATGTAATTCACAGTGCTTTGTATCATGGGTAATTGTACATTTTAATAGATGTTGTCATGAATGTAAATTACTTAAGCTGCGTACCTCTTGAAAAGAAAAAAAAACAACTTACAGGTGGCAGAAATTTAATTATAAAGAAAGCAAAAAAGGATTCCAAATGTTTTAAGTGTTTTCGGTCACAAGACTTAAATTATTTGATGTTATTGAAAATCATAAGAAAAATGCGAAAATAAGGTAGATTTTTTTAGAAGAAATTATTAAGTTTTCTCTAGTTTTCAGAATGGTTTCTCTATTTGATTACGTCTAATAGTGACATAAATTATCGATTCAAATTTACTTGAGAAATTATCTTGAAATTTTGCACTCATACATATTCGCAATGTCAGTACATTACTTCACAGCGACTTTTAAAATTCAGTATAGATTTTCTTCATTAATATTGGAGCAACGTTTCCTTAGATTATTTGTGAATGTTTGGGCTTAATGATCAAATTAATAATTGCAGAATATTTCCACCATCAGATAAGAAAATAATCTTTGAAGTAGAATTCGTTTTGAATCTTTAACGCAATTTACCGCTTTCCCCCCCCCCCCCCGATTTTTCAAAACCAGTTGGTGTTAGACGATCACGTTTTTCTAAAAGTTAAAATTGCAAGATTTCCATTACTCAAATATTAATAGAGGTTTAAGGAAGATAAGAAATAACAACACAGAAACAGAATACATAAGAATTTAAGATAAAATTCTAAAAGGGAAATTTAAAGGAATTGAATATGAATTTAGTTCGTTTGCATTTCTTTCTTAGTAGTCTCGAGGTTTTGTAATCACGAAAACTTCCGGGGACCATTTTTCAATAAAGGACTCTTTTTTTCAAAATGAATTATAAAGCTGATTAAAAATGGATTCAGAAAAGATTTTTCCCTGCCGTCTGTATGTACGTATGTATGTCGCATAACTCAAAAACGAGCAGCCTCAGAAAGTTGGAATTTTGTATATAGGGCTGCTATAGCATGTAGTTGTGCACCTCCCTTTTTGATTGTAATCCGGATGCATTAAAAGAATATATATATATATATATATATATATTGAAGAATATAATTTAAATTTAAACAAATTTTAATTTTAATTTTAACAAACACGTATAAAAGTAAAAAAGCAAAATTAAAGCCAAAATTTTATTTTAATGTTTGCAATAAAATTTTTAATATAACAAAGATAGCAGCTTGGCACTCAACTTTACCTACATAATTACCATCTATATAATTAATTTGAAGAACACACTTACTTCTCTTTAAAAACACTTTTGCAGACCACAACGCTCATATAGTAGGTAAGTTAGAATTCAAACTTACTATTTACTTGCTTTAAGTATTTTTTAAAATTTTTTTATGTAGTATTTAAGTATTTTCTAGATATGTAATTATTTTTTAAGTATATATTTGTTTTTTAAAAAATTGTGAATTAGTTCTTTTTGTTTCTTATTGGTTTTATATGGATTATGTCTAGTTCTTTTTTTTAGTTTCTTTTTATTGATATGCATATTCGTGTCGGGGAGGTTTTCTGTAGACAAGGGATCTAAAATACATTGGTTTCTAAATTGTTTTCTGTTTTCTAAAATTATTTTTTTTATAAAAAATTAATTTTTTTAAAAATTTAATTTTTTTAAAAAATAAAGTTTAATTTAATACTTGACTTTACTTGCTTGTTTATCAAAAGAATTCTTTAATTGTTTTCTTTTTAGAACTTTAATTCTTAAATGCTAATTTATAAGGGTACCACTTTATTGGTATTTCTTTTCGGACATTCTTCACTTTTTACTTTTGGTTTTGAAATTTACCTTTGCCTACATGAATGACGAAACACGAATTGAATGATTGGAGAGTTAGGTTTGGAGGCAACTTCTCCTTGATAAGTCTGTCTCCTGCCTGCTCAACAGTCATTCACTTATGCTTTTTTAAAAAAAATGTTTGAATTAATTTTAATTTGATAAATTATTGAATTTATTTTCATGGATTGTTTTTGCACTTGATTTGCTTATACTTCTGAATTTAAATGATATTGTAGATTAGTTCGAGAATTAAATCTTTTATATGTTTGCACATTTTTTTAAATTTAAAAAAAAAATATTTTGGCTTTAAATTTAATTTTGGCTTTAATTTTGCTTTTTTTACGTTTATACGTGTTTGTTAAAATTTAAATTCCTTGCAGCAATGGCGCAAAGAATTATTTAATTAAATTTGCATTTACTTAATTAAATTCAATTTATTCTATTGAAGAATATATATATATAGATATATTGAAGAATATATATACATATATATAGTATATATATATATATATAATGTACCCACTCTGTTACTCGGCCCAGTGAGCTGAGTTTTTTTCATTCTTATATGTTGGTAAATTGTGCATTTTTTGTTTTAAAAATTATTGAATTATGTTGTTCTTATTTTCCGGTTAAGGGTTTTATGCCTTTAATTAATTTGCATGCAATATTTGTAGAATAATCAGCAATTTAAAAGTGTTTAAGTGAGGCTAAGCCTAATTTTTTTTATCATAGCAGCCATATTTGTTTACATTTGAAACTTAGCAAAATAGTGAATTAATTATTTCTGCAACTTACGTATCTTTTTGAAGAGAGTTTTGTGCACTGAAAAATCTGTCTTCTTAAATTATTCGGAAATAAGTTTAAATGAAATGCAGGAAAAAATGAGTATAATTTAGTATTCCGTACAAGGAAGTCATGTGGTGTACACATCAGCTTTGTTTTTAAATGTTTGAGTGTATTTAATTAAAACCGATTCACTTAAAAATTTTTTTTTCTTATTATAGAGTTAAGTTTACTACTCACTCCGAAATAACTGAGCAAATACTTTAATTATTTACTACATTTAAAGTCGATGAGACCATCGAAATTCTGTTAATCACAAGATTCCTTGAAACAAAAGCACTTTAGTTTGTTATGATTTCTGCATATCAATTTTGGTCACTTTACCGAAATGGGGATGAGTGGTAACTGCTCCCATTTTGTCGAACTCGGCTTAAAGATATGTATGCGTCTAACTATATAACGACTTTGCTGAATCGAGGGATATCTTTTGAATTTTTTATCAAAACTGGATAATCTAGATTGGTAATTGCGCGATTTACCACATTTTTCAATTATTTTGGCTTTCGTACTTTCTAATGTTTAAAGATGTTAACAGCTACGATAATTATTTTGACTGTTTTGGATATGTTCCTTTGGATCGAGATATATATATCGCCCTTCAAAAGTTAAGGAACAGTATGTTTTCTTGTGTCTAATTTGAGAATGAAGCAACATGGAAATACGAAATTTACAGGACGTGTTCACTAAACAGTTCTTTGATGAATTCGACAGACGTTCAACACAAACATAAATTACAGCAAAAAATTGCACTTTTGGCAGACAAATCAAGTCTCGAAGAAACCATATATAACAGTTTTTGAGGAAAAATGGAGTGGTGACATTACAAAAAATGAGTTCTTATAAGGAGGGTGTCCACCCCTACCTTCAATACATTGACGGCAGCGACGTTCCCTGCTGTGAATTAAGTTGTTGGTCAGTGAAATGGGAAGCAACAACCAGACATGGAGTAATCATTGGAGGAAGACTTAAAGTAGAAACCTGTCTCTCAATGTAGTCCCAAAGATACTCTATCGGATTCAGGCCTAGGGATTGAGCTGGCCATTCCATCCGCTGCGCACGTACATTCAAGAATTAGTGCGGTCGGGCATTCTCGTCCATCGGAAGAAATTCAGGACAATAGCAGTGGCATAAGGACGGACATCTTGATCAAGGATCTATCTCGATATCTTGCACCAATCAAAGTTCCTCCATGGAACACATGCAGGTCAGTGTGACCACCGAGACCATTATTCCACCACCTCTATAACTATGTCTTTCCACAATGTGGGATAGATTGTATCTGGCGCGTTGTTCCCCCCAGATCATATGACGTCCTGAATCACTCTCCAATGTGAACCTAGAACTCGTCTGTGAAGAGAACAGACTCCCATTGTTGACTGGTAAAGGAGACGTGTTTTCTTGCCCAACATAAACGGGCATTTATGGTCTTGCCCAACATAAATGGTTCAAGGGGAAACAAACAACTGGTCCTCTTGTATACAGACCTGTATTGTGCAAGCATCTGCGCACTGTAATAGTTGAGATTCCCGTTCCTGTTGCCACTAAATGATCTGCGATGAGCTGAGGACAGTAATGTTATGCCTCCTTCAACCGAAAGTTCTAAATAATGGTTTCCAGGAGGTGTTGTAACTCTAGGTTTCCCTGGAGTATGTCTTCCAGACACAGAATCTTGGGATTCAAACTGATTCCATAGTCGGTGCTTCACACCAGGAGAGACTGAGATGTCTAGCAGCATCAGCTTGTGACATCCCCATTTCCATCCATCCGATAGTGTGCCACTTCAACGAATCGGGCAAACGACTTCTTCTGGACACTGATAGACGCTCCTGGATTATGTCCAAGAAACTGTAATAACAACTGAAACTGTAATAACTGTAACTGATGATCAACTCTCGTGAACATTTTTGCCATTTTTACATTTTTTCTCCAACTCCTATAATAAGTATTCTTTTCTATAAAATAAAAGTGGTAGCTATTGTTTTTGTCTATATCTCCTTAAACTTCGCTACTGTCATGCATATGAAATGTGAATTTAAACGTTGCTGACATTTTTGTAATGGTGAGCTTTGAAAAATATGCTTTTCCTTAACTTTTAAAGGGCAGTGTAATTTTTAAAGTAACACTCATTCATCTGTTTCTCTTGATAATGTTCCTTCTAGAACATAAAATGAGTGAGCCTTCCAATGAAAGATGTTTTATCA